TATTTTGTTAAAAAAGGACCACCTAGAGAAAGACATTTTAAAAGTTTCTTAAACAAGCCAGGTAAAACAAGTCATTATATTTCACAGCTCATCTTACGCAGTGCTGATTAGTCACGACTCAGGCACAGGAGAGAGGAAAGAGAGGAAACCTTCATCAGAGTCCTTGTCTCTGAGTGATTGCTGAGCAATGCTTGGTACACAGCTGGTGTCAGCGCCTTGGTGCTTTTATCTGGAATCTTGCATCTGTTCATACTTTTAAAATAATGAAGAAAAAAAAAGGTGCAAAGCCTCTTTTAGCTATTTTACATTGGAAATAAGATCAAATGGAGATGTAAGTCTAGATTTCTCTACAGCAATATTGAGCATCTATTCTTAACCTATAAGGGCTTGTATGTAATAAGGAAAAGATCATCTTCAAGGGAATTTCTCACTCCCATCTTACCACAGGGCTGACATCCCTTATCACTTCAGACCAGAAATCTAGCTGAGATGATGTTCTCTTGAGATGATTGAATATCTGTTAAATAGGAGTAACTTCATGTGCATATACTCCCTCTCAGAAACAGAGCAGTGGCTTTTACATTCTTATTTCTACCTCATGCAAACATATTAGTATGGCATTTTTACTGGACATGTGGTGCTCTTGGGCCGCAACTGGGTAATAGTTTGTATGTAGCTGAAAATGAAGTTGACTTCACTTCTCTTAAGTCTCACCTTTTATACCTCTGAGGTGTGACCCTTGGATGAGCCCCCCTACAATGAGCAATAAAAGGATTGTTGTTGTTGAACCCCAGCTGGCAGCTAAAGCACCATGCAGCTTCTTGCTTACACCCCCTTTGCCCTGTGCCTGCTACAGTGGGGAGGAGAATCAGAAAGTAAAGGTTAACTTCATGGCTTGAGATAGAAACAGTTTAATAATTTTAAAAAATGGTTATTATTATTATAACAACAGCTATAGTGAAAAGGAGAGAGAAGGAACAAAATAAAACCCAAGAGAAAGAAGTGATGCATAGTACAATCACTTACTACCTGTTGACAGATGCCCAGCCCAGCCCTTAGCAGCAATCAGCAGCTCTCAGCCAATTCTCCCCAGTCTATATACTGAGCATGGCAGTCTATGGTATGAAATATCTTTTTTGCTAGTTCAGTCAGCCATCCTGGCTGTCTTCCCTCCTTGCTTTTTGTGCACCTCCTCTCTGGCAGCACATGGGAAACTGAAAAGTCCTTGATATGGAGTAAGCACTACTTAGTAACAACCACAACATCAGTGTTACCAACATTATTCTCATATTAAATCTGAAACACAGCATTAAGTACCAGCTACTAAGAAGAAAATTAGCTCTATTACAGTGTGAACAAGGACTGTTTTCTACATCCATTTGCTGACTGGTAGGTCATGCTTCTAATAAAATGTTTGTGAAAATACATATTCTTGAAATGCAGTGAGGTTTTCTAGGGCTGAACTGGGTTCTGTTATTTGTGTTGTAGAAAGAAGAGAGACATTTACTTTCTGCACTTCTTCACATCAGTTTTGGAAAAACCCTTTTTTTTCTCTGAAGCAGAAGTTTTAAATTGCAAGGTTTTGAAGTCAGAGTCAAGCCGAAGACTCCTGACAAATGAAAGACCTGTAGTCAATTACCTTCTTGTAAGACATTTTGCCAACTCAGCTGTCTCTGTAACTGTGAACTAAGACTAATGCATGCTAGTCCCTCAAGTTATCATTGTTTAGGACTTGCTGTCTGAAAATCAGGTCAGCAAATGCTTTGTATAATAATGTTCAGAAGAAGATTTGCATTGGGACAATAACAAAAATATGGTAGGTAATTGATGGCAGGTTCGAAGTGGTTCTTTAAACCAGTGAGACCCATTTTGTGCAATGCATGAACAAAAGAGTCAAATTACTGCTATGGAAAACAGACTCCTTTATGGTTATTGCAATTACAATTACAATTTGAGGCAACAACGCTGGCACATTGTTGCCAGATGGAGGATTAGTTTTAGTGGCCCTTAATTAACAACTGGTAAACACTTGCACCCAAATACACATATTTACATATGCAGAGTGCTTACTGTGTCAGAACGATGCTTCTGTCTTAGAGAGCGAGTGTCATTAATGCAGCCTACTAATGAGCACGTCAGAATAAATTATCCTTTCTGGAACTTTGAGCCGTCTATCTGCCACCTGCACAGGAGCTCCTGAGCTGTGCAATGCCTTGTGAAAGCAGCAAAGGGAGCTGGAAAAGTTTGGGTAGCTCAGGGGGAGAGGTCCTGCTGTCTCTAAAGAGGCTACTGTAGGCCAGGTTCCCACCCAAGTTCTGTCTCATACCGTGGCTATGTATATGTAAGAAGTCTGAAAAGGTTTCTGGTGGACAATACTCACAGCTTTCAGTGGAAAAGCTTAATTTTACAAAGTTGCCTGAGCATCTTTGGCCATGGAGATAAATGGGCTCTGCTCCTCAGCTGCCATAATTCATTGTCTGGCTGGTACAGATCCCATAGTTTAATTCCATGTTAAGAATAATCTGTCATATTTCTGTATTACCTCCTATATGAGAATCTCAAACAAGATTTTTTGAATTGCACCTCACAGTTCACAGGAGTGCAATGATTTATACTTGAACGTATTTAGCTGGCAAGAAGATAAATGTAGGGATGACTTAAAAGATCATCACAAACAGTATTTCTAAGATTCTAAGGAAGAAAAAGAGCTGCTAGTAATTTTGTCATCTTACTTGTAGTCCTGTCTGTTGTTGCCACTGACCAACACTAGAGTTGAAATCCAAAAGTTAGTTTGGAAAATTGAGTGAGATGTTGGCAACAGACAACATTATGGAAGGCAGTCCAAAAAGGAGTGTTAAATTATTCATTTAAGTAAGAGCCAGCTGCAAAACTGCAGCTGGCAATCTGAAATGGTCCTATTATGAACATTAGTTAACAGTATCATGGTGTTCTTAAAATAAGGCAAATGTAATTCTGGAGTGTATCAGCCTTGCAATGAGAAGCTCTTCTTGCTTCTCATGGGAAGGACCAGAGCTATTATGCCCAATTTTGAGCATTATTCTAAGAGTGTTTATGAGCCAGTCCATGAAGGATCATCAGAGAGTAGAGAGAATGGTTTGAGAGCTAGGAAATTTGGTCAAGAAGGAAAGATAGGACAAACTCAAGTTATGTAGTAAAGAAGACTGTAGGGAGTGTGTAATAGTCTTCAAATGCAAGGATTGCCCAGGAATACAAGGAAAAAGGCTTGTTTTACCAATTCATGGTGCATTCAATAGAAATAATGTACTTAAACTGCAGAGAATAGAAATAATAAACTTAAACTGCAGAAAATCAGATTAGCTGTTAGGAAAGTGTTTACATAAGGATAGTGAATACAATAAATTTCCAGAGGAGAGTGTTTCCATTTAAGTTCTTTAAGAACTGATTAAATATACCCCTGTCAGGTATAGTTGCAATAGGAACAAGAAGCTGGTCACAGTGATTCCAGATGTGCTGTCCTGTCATTTGGTGGTTCTCCTGTCTCACATTTAAAGCCTGTTTAAAACTTGCTTCTGTGTTGTTGCTTCTATTACAACTGTAGCTGGGAATAATCTGAGGTGCAGCTTTTGATTTTCTGTTCAATTCAGCAAATTGATGGGCTGTACAAACATGTTTCCCCCCACTGATGTTAAGCTAAAATGTGCAACCTATTCACTCCTGTCTCACAGCACATTTTTTGGCTGGCTGCGAGTTTGCATTACTCAGAGCATTTCAGCTCTGGCCATTACCTACTGTTGTGGTTTATTGCTGAAGTTTGTGTGATTCCCAGGACTCTCATGCAGGGTCTGGAACTCTCCTTTTCACTTGGTGGCTGCCTTTCTTTTGCAGCTAATATTTTGGCATATTTGCCAATGATGTCTATTTGTGGAACATTTAGATCAGCTGTCTGGAAGAAGTTGTCCACGTACTGTTGGATGGGGGAAGGCAGAAAGGACTACTTCTAGGATAAAAGCCACATTCAAGAAGTTAAGGTTTTTCTCAGGACACAATCTTTTGCCCATTATCTGCACAGCACAATTGTACTACAGTTTTGTCAGATTACAAATAATACTGTGACTTATAAGAAGTGTTTTGAATTACCTTTACATCTGTCTACATTTTGAAGTTTTCTGCTTAATAAATAAATAAATTGATTTAGCATTAGCTTTACTAGTGACTGGAACATCACTGTAGCTTAGCAGTTCTGCATTATTGTAAGGTTTCTTCCTTTTCTAATACTTTTACTTGTCTGGTTTTAAGTGTTTCAAAATTGTAAGAGGATGCTAGTTATTGATATGGCAGATAAAATCTTTTGTCAGTGTCCCTCTGATGCCATTTATTTGAAGTATATTTACAATATGGTTAATGACCAAGTTCATTTATAATGTTGAGTTCTAGGGAAGGTCTGGTAAGGAAAGGAGACAATTTTGGAACTGAAATATGGGATAGCTTGCTTGCTTTTGCCCTGAATTTAGAGTTGCTGATATTTTGCGGTAAAATAAATTCTTTGCATTTTAAATGGACTTCAGTTTCCAATAAAAATTACTGAGTTGAGTTTTAAGGGTATCTCTGATAGATTTGCTGTCTACAGCTCCCTTCTTACTGTCTTTTTAGTCCAGTTAAACCTTACTTCTGTCCTCTGTCACCATCACTGCAATACTTGAGAAAAATCTATGCGTCCCTCATTATTCTGTTCAGTGCAGAGTTGTGTTCTCCCCATTCTGCTTGACCCCAAATGCTTTTTTTGTCCTTCCATTGAATCCTGTGCAGGTTTCCTGGGGACCTTTTTTGTTGGTTGTGGTCTTACTGTGTTAACTTTGATCATGGATTGAGAAAGTACCTTGATACAAAAGGAAAAAAAAAAAAAAAAAAAAAAAAAAAAAAAAAAACAAAAAGAAAGCAACATAAAACTGAAATCACAATAAACCATGTATTTACTACAGATTCTAATTATTTTTCCCTTTGTTTTTGTTTTCATGCAGATTGTTTCTCAGAGGAAGCTCTCCAAGTCCTTACTCAAACATGGCAACACAGCAGGAAAGTCATCTATAACAGTAAGTCAGTCTTAAACATGCTTTTTTTTTCCTGTTATTTAGAAATATCTAAAGTGAGTAATTCTCTCTAAAAGCATCCTGCTAAGCCACCAGAACAACACTTGATTGAGAAATGCATTTAAATTGTTTATTTGATGATTTGCACTGTTTCTGACAAATGCTTGTTTTAAGGAAATGGCAACAAATATGTGTGATTTGTAAAAAAGATACAATACTTGCTATTAACTACTTTTAGGGTACTTGGATGACAGCAAGTAACTTCTGCTGTTTGAATACTTTTAGCTGAATGACTAGAACCTTCAGAAATTAATTTATACATGCTTTGACATGTAAAGGAACCTCATCTTTCTTTTCCCTTGGGCTTTTTCCAGTTTCTCAGTAAAAAAAAAAAAAAAAAAATCCCATCCTGAGAATCAGCACAATATCTGGGCAGTTCCTAAGCCTATTTCTGTCAGCTTAGAGGAACGTGTAGAGCACTCTGTCAGCTCTCTAGCACAGAGATGAGTGGCAGCCAAAGCAGGTCCTTCTGTTCCACTAACAAAACCAGGGCAGTTGATGATATTAGTTTTAGATGTATTGTAATGCATCTAAGGACTGGATTGTCATAGCCCCATGTCTATCTTGAACATTACCTCTCTTTCATCTTTCTCTATGCTGGCTTGCTTGGGAGATCAATTTTGTCTGCACTTTGATTTGGGGGTATGTGCTCTGTTGCCTCATGAGACTGAGAAGGATTTTTTTCCTTAATGTGTGATTTGCCAGATGGTTTTCTTCTGGCTTGATTGTTTGGATTTTTTTTTCTGCCTTCAGCCACAAAAGAGACAGCAGATTCTGAGGTAGTTTCTTGAGAGCCCAGGGAGTTTGATTTCTTAGATCTCTTCCTTTGTGCTTGGCTGGGAATTGATTTGCTTAAATGGATACAATAAACTTGGTTTTGGTCTGGGGTTGGAAAGGAGTTCCCCACTCATCTGGCTGAATAGAACCAGGAGAGAGTTTTGTTCCCTAAATAACTTCATATGGTTTGCCTGCTGGCATGGTCTGGGCATACTTCATCTCACCCATCCCTGTGGTGTTCTGGACCTCCCTTCTGTTCTTCTTTGAGGAGCACAAAGTAGTTTAGTCTTGTGAAAACACAAATGCTGTAGTACAACTAAAATTATTAGGTTTGTTAGGGGAGTGTTCTGGCAAAAATTAAATCACTGTAATAAACAGAAGATGAGACAAAATGAGTTAATAGTCCCTGCTGGCCTCACACTGGATGATAACCATGAAATATGGACCTTATTTATGTGCTTTGGCTTCTGTCCAGCAGTTCTAAAGAGCAAGTTGACTTGAACGGGAGAAAACTGAACCCAGACAAAGAAATACTGTGTGAAAAGTTTTTTGTCTCAACAAAATAATTAAAAACGGATTAATGATTATATTTCTGGACCTGGGGACGTACCAGGTGTCTGTCAAGTATGGAAGTTAGGAATACTAGTTTCCTAACTCATTCAGTGTAGTGAGTTATGAGTTTTTCATAGTATTTTGAAAGTTCCTCTCTTAGCAAGTTTTGCTGGAATTTTATTCATCTTTTGACTGTGTAATGTCTCATCCACACAATTTTATAATATGGCTCTGGAAAGCAAACAGAACATTGTTCTGCTTCTCCAGCTGCAAGTCTGTAAACCTTTACAAGAGCAGGTTCATTATTTTCAGTTTAAAATACTTGTGAAATTTGGTGTGCAAATCCCAGAGCACTGTTGGTCACACACAGCTTAACCAGATTTTGTAAACCATCAGACTACATGGAAGAGAAATGTGTCAGGCTCCGTGGGTCAAATTTCATCAGCAAGCTGATGTTTGCCTAGAAGATGTAACACACCACATCTGTGCCTGTGTGATGGTACTTTAATGGCCAGTTAAGCATTTGTGCCCCTGTCTGGCTACGTGTGAGTGTTTTGTTTGGAGAAACATCACATCTCCCTGCTGGGAGGTGTCGCCGCCAGAATAGTCTCAGGGAATTTTACTTAATTTAATGAATTGCCAATCAAAGTAAACTTTTAACTACTGAGAAACAAATAGGACAAAAAAAAAAAAAAAACCACTCCTAGGGAAAATACTTTTCCTGCCCCTCTCCTGTACTCCACTTCTGACACCTCTCCTGCCTCCTTCATAGTCTTCACTCCTGTTGCCTTCACTTCATGTTGTGCTCAGTCCCTTTGGTGAGGTGGCGTGTGACGCAGGTCAGGATCAGAAAATAGTGATGTTTTTGCTGCTCTTTGAGGTTTTTTTCTTAGTTCTGCTCTGGACTTACACACAGGGGCATCTCTGCTCCAGAATGAGTCTTACCTGAGGGTGTACACAGAGGTGCCTCCTCCAGCATGGAGCACTTCCTTCAGAGAGTGAATCTCCAGCTGTGTCCCCACAGCATGGCCTTCTCCATGCCTCCTCCTGGATCTTCTTTAGGGTGTCATTGCAGGCCTCCTACCTCTCCTTCCTTTGTGCCTCTTGCCTCTGGCAGCTGCTGTCCTTTCAGACATAGATTCACAAGATGCCTATGGCACCCCATACGCACCTCTGATGTGTTGATGTTTTGGGGTGCAGTCAGTAGCTGCTGCCAAGCCAGTTTGGCAAATTTTTGTTTTCCCAGCAGCTCCTCAAGGACTTCAAGTGGTGGAGACAGCCAGAGCCTATCTGGGAAGCTGGCATGGCTGCCACGTGTGTGGTCATGAACATGAAACACCCAGGAAACAGGTTCTTTTGGGAGATTTAATCCATGGGGAGAGCATTTACAATGGGGGAAAAGTTTTAAAGCTGTCAAATAGAATATAATATGGTTTGTTTCAAAGAATGTTTTCCAGTGAAATATGCCAGATTTGGTTAGTGCCTTCTCTCCCCTGAGGCTGTGGTATTCACATGATCTCTGAACAGAGAGAGGCTGTGAGAGAAGCAGCAAAAAGAATGATCAAAACAATTCTTATCTCATTTGCTGCTCCTGTGTTTGTGCTCATGTTGAATGTGTTCTGGAGATTGTTTAACCAAGGTGATTGCTGGATTGGATTCTGGTGGAATTGTTTGTGTTAATTAGCCTATCAGGTCCAAGCTGTGTGGACTGTTGGTCTGCAGACGATCACGAGTTTTTCAGGAGTTAGAAGTATTCTTTGTAGTATAGTTATAGTATAATATAGTGTGATAAAGTAATTAATTAGCCTTGTGATATAATGGAGTTCTGCTCATCATTCTTCCCAGACGTTGGGCATCGTAGCACAGATATGAGGCATTTTAATGGCTTACTTAGGAAGCTGGTTTGGTTGGTTTTTTTATAACGTTGCACAGCACAGTGACTGGCATCATTACTGATATAGCCTACACCATCTGAAAGAATCACATGATATTATTTTAGGATTACTTGCTTCTGACTCCATCCACGGTAAATTGTTTTGCCAATGTGGCTATTGCAGAAAAGCTATTTCAGGAGAGCTCTCCTGCTGTAAATGTGTCTTTCATGGCAGCTAATGCCAGGTGACTTCACTATTTTTTTTCATTTATCTTGCCAAATGATGCTGAAGTGGCATAAAAATAATTGGGCTTTAGACCTGAGTAGTACAACCCTTGTAGAGCATTTTTGTCCCCTTGGATACTGTGAGGTTGTGGAATTCTCTGTTTTCCACTCTGAGGAGGGGCACTTGGTCAGAGGAAAAGGATCCCTGGTGGATGTGGGTGTCTGCCCTTTGACAGGTGATTGACAAGGCATAGTTGCATGACACAAACTGATTCAGGTTTGTGGGCTGACCAAGGTGATGTCCTTCCTGACGGCAAAGAGAAACACATTAACTTGTTCCACACTTCAGTTTCCTAAGTGGGGTCTGCAGTCTTCACACACTGAAAAATGGCATAGTTCCCCCCTTCCATTACACCATGCACAACTCAAGTGTAGCTTTCCATTTAGGTGATCGCTGAGGAATTGTCTGGCAACGATGACTACGTTGAACTTTCATTCAGTGCACGGAAATTGGATGACAAGGTAAGCTGCTTGATATTAACCTTTCTGAAAGATATAAGAATGCCTGCAAATATAATTTGATGAGATCTTCCATGACAGATATTTTTTTTACCTTGTGTTATTAAACACATCAGGGTTTTCAGATGGATGTTCACAATGAGGCTTTCCTCGGGTTGCAAGTAATTTAAAAAAAAAAAAAAAACTCAAGAAAATCTAATTAAAATCAAGACAAGTTAATTACACTACAACCAAGACAATTTAATTATGTAAAATGCCACAGATCAGAAGTATTTAGAGAAGTGAACTTTCTGTGAGTAATCAATGATGTTATCATTGAAGTTTCCTAAAATGCAGCTAAAAAACTTCATAACAGCTCAGTCATGATACACATTTTGTTCAACAAAACATAGCTTGAATGTGAGAAAAAGACTTGCATATTTGTTAAAAACTTTTTCCCCTCTCTAGGTAAAAAACTTTCCACTGACTCAAACACTACTCAACATTATAAGGAATACCTCTTTCTGAAAATATCTGTTATTGTTTAGCAATTTACTCATAATAAGGATCTCAACTCACAGCCCAAGAAAACCTGATGTCTGCTTGTACCACTCTCTGTCATTTCAGTGTAATAGCAGGCATAGAATGCTTTGAGGTATATGGTCCCTTCTTATACAGGAAGGTGCTTCTAATTAGAAACATATGGCAGAACTAAAGGTAAAAAGGTTTAGGATGCTGATGCCCCAAGTGTGTTCTTGTAAACATCTGACATGAGAGTAGCTTAAAATCAAATCAGTGAGACTACTTTTGGATACATATTCATCAGGTTTTCAAACTCAGGTTGTAACTTATGAAAAATATTTTCAGCTGAAACTACCAGAAAAATCTCAGGCAAGCAGAAAGTACACAGAAAGATTAATAGTTCTGACATATAACTTTAAAATAAACTTTATAAAATTTATAAAATTTTACTGTGCTCAGGATCATTAACAATCATAAATGATCAGGACCTGAATTTGCTTCTCATCTGAAAGATAAATTACTTTCCTCTTTCAGAGTTGCTGGAGTCTGAGTGGTTTTGAGTTGCATAATTTATTTAGGTGTCAAAATGTAAATTTAGCAACCTTTCTTTAGACAGATATCTTTAGAGGTAATTCCCAAACTTGTACAAATTTTCTTCCTGTTCTACTTGCTGTCACATCTAGGGAAAAGGAAAGGACACAAACAACATAATAGGACTCCACTTAGTTATTGCTTTCCACAAATGCAAAATGTAACCTGCTTTAAATATTATGATTGCTTCTAGTTCTTGTTGGTATAAATTAAAAGGATACTTGCCAGACTGCAATTCTGAGCCAGGTCAGTGTTGTCTGGGCAACAGTTTTAGAGAGTGATTAAAACACTTTATGGGGTAAGGTGAGAAGGATCACTCTGAAATATTGCAACAGTGTTGTCATTCTTGCCATTTTAAATGGCCAGTCAAGGTGGGCTTCGTCTAATAAAGAATTCTTGGATGATGCAGTGTGCAAGTCAAGCAGTGACTCATCATGTCTTATCTGAATCCAAAGTCCTGTCTTCAACTGATGAAAATCTCTGGAAATCTATTGCACTGAATGAAGTCTTTCAATTTTCTCCAGTTAAAGATGTAGCTCAATACCTGGCTGAAACTTGATTAACTTACTCTATAGGAAAAATGTACAGCTTATAATGAACTTTGACATCATTAGATGCAAGGAACTATTGGTAATTATTTTTATTAAGGTTTGAAATTACTTAAATTTCACAGTTCGGCCATTGGTGAAAAAGAATGAGTGCTCTGATGTCACAAAAAGGGAAATAAACATAAAGAATTGAGAAGAGCCGATTTTGTAAAATCCTAAGCATGGTTTTGCATGCCTCTCCCCACTCAGAGAAGTGAACACCTGAGTAGAGATGTAATGTCAGAGAAACAAACTGAGGGTTGAAGCTGGCTTTGGAGTCTCCTGAAAAACAGAGGAAGCCTCTGTATGTATTTCCTACATGAAGGAAAAATACTTGAATGACAAGTATTCTTGGAAAATTAAAGAATTTAATTTTTGGAAAATTAAAGAAAATTTGTTGATAAGATTTAACAGGCAGGATATGTTTGTTGCATGTTTTTTACTCTCCTGACGTAAAACTGCAAGAATTTTAGAGAAGCTACAGAACAAAGCCTAATAATTTTTTCTTACTGGAGTGGCTGAAACATTCAGTGAAAAATTATAGGAAAAATTATGGATATTAAAGTTTCCTTTAGTTAACTGACTTTAGCAGAAATAACGGTTATATTTTTTTATTACAGTGCTTATTTGGAAGGTATAACTGCTTTTTCATGTTTTATTGAAGCCCTGTCAGCTCAAATGGCACATCTTTGTTTCAAGAGATCCACTGAGAACACTTCACTGTGAAACAATAACTTTTGGAAAGGTTTTATTGCATTAATAGCTGTGTCACAATTACCATAACAAGCAGCTACATTTTTTATGATAGCTATAATAAATTATGAGCACTGGGGCAGGCAAACTGCTTCTCCTGTTCTGAGAGAGGCAGTTACTGTTATTTGGGAAAGATTATCCAGCAAATATCTGCAAAATACGAGCTAATATTGCTTTTTTATATAGTTCCCTGCTATTAAACTACTACCAAAAAAAAACTCATCAAATGCCCTGTTGGATAGTATTCAAAATTTTAATCTTTTTGCTGCTTCAGCCCTTTTTTAAGGGACCTTTGACTTGATCCCCAATCCTGAATTTTAAAAATTGTTGGGCTCTAAAAATTAATCTACTAAAAATGTGTCAAACTAGGTGCTTAGAAACAGATATATCTAAATTTTTTAAGTCTAGGCCATGTACTTGTGTTATTACTGTATAACTGCTACACATACTGAAAGAACAATGTGCATTATACCCCAGCAAATGTATTACATTAATCATTTAAATATTATTAAAATAACACAATATATTGCAGCTATTCTTCTTTCAGAGATATTCTTGGGGGATAATGCAAAGCTATTAGATTCAGCATAACAACCAAAAAAAGTTAATTGTGAAAGCGAATGTTTCTTCAGCTTATCATTTCTACTTATTACAGAGCACTTCCAATATAGAAGGATTTTTTTGTTCGTACCTCAATTCTGATAGTAATGAGGTCTTGTTTTTGCATTGGAGGGGGAGTAATATAAACAACCATCCAGCATTAAAATCTTTCCTTTCATGTGGTATTATCTTGATAGTTAAAACCAGAAATTATTTCCTTTGTGCTGATGTGCTGTTGTACCTTTATGATACTCAGCTAGGAACAATACTGTATTTTGAGCCTTAAATGAAATCTTGGCTTCCTTTCAGAATTCTTTTGCACACCAGGGTACGTACATTCTTTGGATGTATCATTTTGAGGTACTTTCTTTCAAATAACTTATCAAATTTGTGTTTGATAAGGAAACTCTGAACATTCAGCTTTTTACCCAGCTTCAATCAGAATGCTTATGTGTGAGAAGAGGCAGCTCAATCCTTTTTAACCCTATGCACTCTGCATTTTTGTGCGATCATTATTAAACCAGCACCCTCTCTCTCTGCTTGTTCTCTTTGCTATACGCTGGTAATCTGGCAGAATTTGATCACCAAAACCCCCAATACCTAGAAATTTCAAATTTTGAGTGGCGTCCAGATATTAAATCTACATCAGGGCCTTGAGGCAAACTCTAGAGTTACTTAAAGATGAATTTTGCACTGGTTTTACAGAATTTGACATAAAATGTCCTGTTTACCATGTAGCTAGAACAAATAGCCAAGCATACAGCTTTGTTGTTCCATGCTCCCCATGAAATGATTTGACAAATAAATGTTCACGTGCTTTGCATCAGCTGTTAAATGGCCACTAAGTTTTCTCTAGAAAGTGAAGAAGAGATCAGTGGCTAAACAACACTCTCAACACAGCATTATCTCATTTTTAGGGGATGACAAGACTTTAGGTTCCTTGAGCCTTGCTCAAGGCTTTGTGGTCCATAGGGACATGTGTTCCATTTTCTTCTTCAGACATTCAAATTCAGGTGTCCCTTTTCAAAGCCATGAATTCTTTGTTTGTTTTGAACATATGGAATTGTAAAAATGCCCTAAGAATAAATTTTACCAAGCCCAGACTTTGGCTGGCATCTTATCCAAAGTTGTTCCCAAACCAATGGCCTTGCAGTTAACCAAAAATAGTTATGGTGGACATTTGGTGAGAAGAAATAAGTAGAATTATATATATTAGAATAATTTTTACACTATCATAGAAACACTTGGATACTGAACAGAATTTCTCATTTCCCCAAATTGACGTAGGGGTCTGTGGCTTTGGATATGTCCTATACAGACGAATAATGTTCATATGTACAAAGTTAATCATGTGGCTTTTTTGAAGAAGAAAATTAAGAAGGGAGTTGAAGCTATAGGAAATCGACTTTTACATCCTACTCTTTCAACATGGCACAGTTAGAAATTTGAAAGTTTCTCCCTCCTGGGTTAGCAGCCAGTTACTCTTCTCCCCCACAGCCAGCATGTCCAGAATAAATGAGATGTCGAAACAAAAGATCCTGTGATCGCAGTGAAGCAGCACTATAAAAAACAACTTAATTTAGGTTTGTGTAAAAAAGTTCAGGGTTGTTAGCTGGATACAAGACTAGGAGAAGGTGTTCTGCAGTGTGTGAATGTGAACCTCGGTGTCTGTCACAGATTTGCCTAGAGATATCAAGTTATTTCCTTCATTACACTGCTCTATTTGTCATCTTAGCACGGGTCATGTTACCACATCCTGAAGAGGACTTGCTTCTTTAACCATCTCTAATCCATTGTGACAGGACTTGTGTTAGTTGGTAGCAGCACAATGTCTTGGCCAATTAACTTCTGTTTTGAGAGGGTAGGTGGAAACTGTGAAATTCAACCCTAGTGTGGAATATGCTTCAAAGTACAATGCATTAAAAAACTGGTGTCAAAAGATCAAACAGTTGTGGAGACAAAAATAAACAAGCTAGGTGGATGACAGAGCTAATACTCAGGAAACTGGGCTGGGTGTAGGAAGGGAAGAGGTTGTAAAATGACATTTTACAGTTTTGCATGCCATGATTAAATAGTCAAACTGAGAACAACAGCAGTACCACAGGAATCCTTGTGAGACAAGGACAAGAATGAAGTATTGCTGAGAAACACCAAGAGGTCTCACTAAAACTACTCTGGCTCTTCCTTTTCATTAGCAGTCAGGGAAGAACCCAATGCACTGTGCCTGAAAAGCCCAAAGAAATAGAAGCCTCAAGAATAACTTGTCCTATATTTTATTTTAGGATTTTTTCAGCAAATCTGATCCTTTTCTGGAGATTTTTCGGGTGAATGATGATGCAACCCAACAACTTGTTCACAGGACTGAGGTAAGGAATAGAGTTGAATTCACTTTCCAAGGACACAGATGGGCTGTCAGGAGACAGTTTATGTTTCCCATGTCACAAAGGCAAGTGGTTTTAAATGTAGGTGTGCAAACACTCACACTTAAAAACACTACCTAGTGTTACACTCTAGTGTCAATAACTAATGGATATCAGGTCTTGACTTATGCACCTTACAGTAAAGGATGATGAAGCCAAAGGTCCAAACCTAATTAAACTGTCAGATACTCTGTTGGAAGGTCAGGAGATATAAATACTAGATTTAGCCAAAACCAGGCTACAGACTGTATAATATTTTCCCATTAATACTGTGTTGCTTCTTCCCCACATCCTCTCAGGGATTGTAATCTGGGTGCTTTACATTTGTTTCTTATCACCCAGTGACATTACTGCTCCATGGTAATGACTGGCACTGTCTTAAAAAACAGCATTGAGATGTATAGGGTGGAGCTGGGGCAGATGTTAGGGGTTATAAACCTGTTATGGCTTCCACAGAGTTTTCCTAGCAAGGCAAACAATGTGCCTGTAAATTGATGTTGTCCATCCCCATTTCCTAGTCCTGCATGTCTTCCATTGCTTCCAGTTCAGTTCTGCACCCTTTCCCTTGTCAATTATCTCCCACTGAGGCATGGCAGTGCTGTAGCAATGTCTGTAGCATCATCTGTGGGTATGTATAGGTCCATTTCCCACTCCTGCTCCTTTTGGGGGCTTTGCAGAGGAGGAGTGTTGGAAACTGCCAGTTGCTCAAGGGCTCATATCTCATTGGATGTAGTTCTGAAAACTCCAGCTGAGCTCTGCTTTCTTCTCTTGCTGGTGAATATACTGTATTGAGAATTGTGCCTCTTGTTAGCATTCTGCTGAGAGATGTGGAAATGTTAAGGGTTCTCTCTCTTCTTTTCACTTACAGGTTGTGATGAATAACTTAAATCCAGCATGGAAGACCTTTAAAGTGTCTGTAAATTCTCTGTGCAGTGGAGACCAGGATCGCAGGCTAAAGGTCAGAAGTAATTCCTACTTTTTTAATAGTTTTACTCAAAGAAAACAAAAGTTTGTCTCTCTTTTTCAACTGTAGATTGCTATTCTGCACTTCCCTCTTCTTTGATGGAAAAGATGATCACACAGCTGCATTATGATTACCATAATCAAATTAAGGATGCAGGAGAAGTGGTAATCCACTATAATCAGTAGATTATGCTCTATATTTCTCACAGTAACCTCAAAAAATATGGGGCTGTTTTTCCCAATCAGTTGGATAATTTAAATCCAGCATCATTTAACTGGTGAAAGTATACTCAGGGGAAGAGGCAGCCCTACCACAATTTTAACCACTATTTCCTTGCTTCTATATCTGGATGCCTTCTGTAAAAGAAACACTGAAATAGGAGATTTTTTTTATTATACTTGAAGAATAGGATGACCACAAAAAAGACATGTGCCATAGTAATAGAAGTGTTTCTAGTCAGCAGAAAGACAGATAATTGGTAACCTGGAGCTTTGTATAGAAAAAATCATCTTCTTTTGGCTAATTTGGCTTAAATCAAGTCTTTATCTAATTGTTTTTATCTTCTGGCCAGGTTTAAGGCTAACACTAAATTAAAAAACATCGAATAAAGAGCACTGATCTGCAGTGTCTATTCAGACTTTTAGACCTGATGAAAGGATATTGGACCCAACAGTATGACTATTTTTTTTTCTTACTATACCAAATTACTTAATAGAATTTTGTTTTTGTCCTTGCAAACATTTCTTTCATCATTATAGCTGCAAAACTGTGCAGAAGGGGACTTGTCATTTTTCACTCCTTACTTACTGCAGGATGTACTGTGCAGATGGAAAAAATAAAACGCTGATGAGGATATGTTACAGTGCACATCTTCACTGTAATTTTTTAACCTTTCCACAGATGTGTGGAAAGGGTAAAAAAGCTGTCTTATGAATGCTTGGATTCACAAAATTATCCCTGTTACTATGGAAAAACATATAAATTTGAGTCAAGAGATGGATCAGATTTCTGCTACTGAAATGAAAAGCAGAATTAGCACAGCACTTCATTCATCACATTGTGTACATGTGGTTTTGAAATCACCTAGGTGAAAAAATCTAGGAAGAGAAGCAAACAAAATAGGAAGTCTAGCATGTGAGAACAAGTGGCAACTCCATAAGGGTAGAGAAATGAGGTTCCATAGGGAGAAAAATGCTCTTATCTCTGAAATTGAGGTGAGAAGGTATAAGAAAGGCTCAGATTTCAGTGTGGGCAGGAGAAGATGGGTCTGGGAATAAAGGTGTTCTTTTGAGCTGTGAGCAGAGACAGTAGGCAAAATTGTTTGCAGACAAGCTGCCAAAAGACAGGCTGAAAAGGGAGAAGTGAAGAGGACCAATCCCTTAGGACTGCCTGTAGAGAAGATATGGGGAAAATCAGTGGAAGAATGGCTGAAGAAGAAAACCAGAGCAAGATGGGTCTTATGAACCTACTGAGAATTTTCAAGACAGTTTTTTTTTCTCTCTTTTTGGGAGAATTTTTGTGGTTTTCGTTTGTGTATGCAAATGTTTGCAGCCCTGCTTTAGATATCTGAGTATTTGCCTGAGGCTACAGTTCAGCCATTTGCAGAAAAGCTGAAAGTACTAAGATTTGCATCAGATCATTCATGAGTACAGGAATATTTTAAAACTAATTATGGATGTAAAATAATAAAAAAGCTTGATACTTATTTCAAATTCAGGCCTTTTATAACTTTTGGTGAGTGTAAGTTAAGACTGTTATGGTAGAACAGCCACCCAAAACACTTGTATTTGAGAGACAGTTATAATACTTGTCAGATAATTATTTGCTTCTTTTCTAGATGGTCTATAACCTAGGAATTGGGTGGCAGCTAGGACAGAAGAGTGAAAACTATAAGAATTAGAGAGATTAAGTGTCTGTGACTGGTATAGCACTGTATGAATGTTTATACTTTGATTTACTCTGATTGACTAAGCATTCCTCTCTTTGCGTTACCATATTTTGGAAAGTTTGACTCCAGTTGCTTTGTTTCACTTCATAAAGTATACAGCAGTATGTTACTGCTAAGTGTTGGAAGAGTTCCCTGTGCCTTATTTAACGTGGGGGAGATTTAGTGTATTCCAGCTGCCTTGCTGAGCACCAGCTTCTTGCCAGGATTGTTTGATCACTGTGAGCAGTGATTGCATAAGGCTGGGTGGTTTTGTGTCTCTTCCTGCTGTTAGTTTTTAATATATTCCAAAGACATAATCGAAGTTAATGCTTAAAGAGGCACCAGAAGGGCTCGAAGGGAGCTATCAGCTTGTGGAAATCATCAACTGCAGACACCTTGCAATTGTGCCTACCTTTGGTTTATGTCTGTAGGCTATTTGGAAGCCTGAAATCGTGGCACTTCATCTCTGCCACTGAATTCACATGGGTACTGAGCTTAGTGGTCAGATTTTTGTAATGGGGAATGAGGATTAACATGGGAAAAGTACCCTAAAACAACTCACAGAAAGTAGCTCAACATACAGGAAGTTTGCTCTTCATAAGTCTTCCACACAAAGCAGTCTTTACACTGTCTGAGCATTTGAAACTTTCTAGTTTAAAATGTCTGTTTAGAAAGATAAGATGAGCAAGGTCACTAAAATCAAAGCAACCAATAGTTAGGATCTGCCAAAAGTCTTTTTGCTAGCATTCTTTACAAAGTCTGTTAATTTTAATTCCTTGTGGGCTTTTAAAGAAAAAACTAATTTTGCTTTATTTAGCTGTGGTGCAGAGAATAATGAACATTTTATTCCTATCAGGACATCTTGTAAAACTTTATTACAATTATTGCTGCTCTAGGTTTTATTATGAAAAGTATATATTAGATTTATGAACCTACTGAGCTTTTCCTCCCAGACAGTAAAACCATCCAAGAAGTCTGGTCACACTTCAGTGCCAATCATACCTTCTTTTAATGCTAACAGGAGAGACAATTAGTGTATGCATTGAAGGGAACAAAATACCTCTCAGATCCAAAAGTAGTGATATGTAAAGATTTTCAAATCACAAATGTGACCTCTGACAAATCTGAGTGAGGATTGTACTCCTTCTGAGGGCAGGTTTATCCTAGTCTGTTCTGCTGAAAGTCCTGTAAATTTGGACCATTTCCATTCAAATCTGGTTTCAGCATGTAAGTTATGTTACTGTCAATGGTTCATCTGAAATACAAGATTGTATTGTGGCTGCTTTCTGGTAAGGATCATTTACTGCCCACCCATTCTAATAGTTGGTTCTTCTTTCTCTAGAGAAGTCCTGAGAATGTATACAGAAAAATAATCCCCTTTTTGTTTTGGTGTTTGGTGCTATAATACTTGGGAAATAAATGCCTAACAAGGTGCTTGTTAGGCAAAGGCCAAACAGGGCATATGACATCCAATAATTCTATCTCCTGCTGAGGTTGTATGGAGAACCTCCTCAAAAGAAGTTCTGTTCACAGGGAAAAGTAGGAACTGAGGAAAAAAAATCTGGAATAAAAATGTTTCTAAGGTGAGCTGATAAGCTGCTAGGAGAGTGCTAGGGAAGCACATGTCATATCTGTATAGAAAGCCCTTTCCACCTTCTACCTACATAGGGAAAATTTTCAAAGGAAGCATGTCCATTAGATACTTTTCTACCTTTCAAAAATCTGTCTGTTGCAATTATATCATTGTTGTCAGCTTGTTTACTGCTTCATCCCTGCAGGACCCAGGTTACAGGTGCTGATCACAGTGAAATTGGTGCAGTTGTGAGTGGGGCACACAGCCATGCTTACCAGGGCTGGTCCATACACTAGGTTATAGGGCCTCTCTGTGTGTGTTTGAGTGGCTCTTTGCAGCCTGAAGCCTCCAGACAGTACTGTTTCTTCTGCTTGGTAACCATGGGAAGGTTGCCCCTTCCTGTGCAGTTCTAATGAGGTCAAAACTTGGTTCTGCCATTCTTCTCCATTTTCTTTTACGTCCAGTTGACTCCCATGGCTCTGTCCATCTGATCTGTTGGAGTAGCTGTGTCTTAGTACATGCAGTGTTTGGGTTTCTGCTGAGAAGTCTTCTTCCATATGTTTGTAAATCCCAGTGTACCTATGATGCTCTTAGTCCTAGCAAGATGCACTTAAGGTGACTTTAAAGGTTATTTTCAATTTATTTCCATATTAAGATCTTCATAAATAGGTCCCTTTCCAATGTGAATTTTCTACATTTTTTTGGTAGGTCATTGTTAACAAGGTCTTCTTGAGAGACCTGCACTTTGCTTAAATTAGTAATCTATGCAGTGCTGTTTCTGCCTTGTTGATACTATTATAGAATGTGAACCTCATTACAATATTAATAGAAGAAGCTCCACAGCTTACAAGAAAGATCTTGGCATTGTTTCTGCATGCAAATAGATAATCACTTGATTTTAATTTTATTAATCAAAATCATTACATGAGAATTTGTTCTTAATATAACAATCACTTCCCCAGTGTCTGCTATTGCATTTGGGGGTGGAATGTTGGGTCTTCTTCAGACAGTTGTAACCTTCTGTTTCCTTCTGATTTCTTAAAAGTGTTGACTCTTTAATGCAAATTGATGGATCATTAGGGGAAGAAATTGCTTCTTACAGAATGTCTGCTCCATTCTGAGTTAAGGAATAGCAATTCTTCCCCTAATGATCTTGCAGTCAATGTCTGCTCCATTCTGAGTTAAGGAAAAGTGAATAGCAGTGGATATTTTGATATTCTCTGAATTATTGTGGCTGTGTTCCCTAGATCAATAAGTTTTCAGTGACCTCTAATACTTGACTACAGCTCTGCTTATACAGGTGTATTGTAAACTGTAAAATAAGCCCTCAGTATCTCTGAAAGCCACTAGTGAAAGTAACTGAGCAGAACCTGTGAAGGAGACCAAGTAAAGGTTAAAATACAAGGAATAATATAGTCAGACAAATCCATTAGTGCTTTTATTCTTTCACTGTTTAGCTGTCAGGGTGTTTGAAGCACTAGTATGGAAAGATAC